ATGTCAAAACAGTGAAAGAGCGAGGTCCACTGACTCACCAAAGATTATGCAGCAGATCAGCAATAACAGAATCAAGCAAAAATCCCAATAAACAATACTAGTACAAGGCACTGTACATAGATGACAATGCTTGTGCAAACTGTTAATGGGAGTAATGCTACTTTGGTATAAATGAATCTTAATCACAAATAGGATTCCATGTGTAAGAGTCTATACAAACTCAAGGAAAAAGACTATGAATCTTCTTAGACAAAAGAAGGCTATATAGTAAAACACTTCAGAAGACCGAGTATGGAAGGTTTATCTCAAATCTTCAAGAGAAAAACATCTCAGTAAGTAGCTTGTAGTATGTCTTTTTTTATGTTCACCCCCCTTTCTAATTCAAAAAAAGACATAACTGTCTTTCACGGATTCTGGAAGGTACAGAAACTTCCCTGCCTCTGATGCAGCCTTTTAGCAACAGACTTCAACAGTGGTAACTGCAGGAGACACAAGTGACTTCCCTTTGGGCAATCTCAGAGACACAAGGTTTTGTCCCCATGCTTTTTCAGCATGTTTGTAATATTTACCACAACAAAAACTACAGAAAGTGTTGATATAGTGCAGGAAGCTGGATTTTCCATCTGTGGATGCCTCTTAACTAACCTTGGACGTACACAGGATGCTTTTGATTTCAGCTATCAAAGGAGTGCAATGAATGACGACAATGTTAAAAGCAAGTAGTAAGGAACATGGTCTGCCCCCTCACTGAGATAAAAACAAAGGCACACAAAGTGACTCAAGTAATTAAAAAAACCACAACCAGAGATCACAATTAACAGCCAACTTGCAGACACAGTTCCTTGAAAATATCTATAATGAAACAAAGATAATATTCAAAGAAACAACTGAACTTGAAATAGTCTCCCAGTCACTCCCTTACATAAGTCAGGAAAATCGCAACATCTAGATATGAACAAATTCAACTGCTGAAAAGCCACATTTTGCCCAAAGCAACTTATGGATGTAAAATGTGGAAAATTAATGCTGTGACATGTTGTATAACCTTAGGCAAATCATGTTTCCCTTCGTATCTCTACTTTCTTTCTCCTTTCAGATGTAGTGTTGCTGAAGTATTTTATAGCTACTAGGCAGAAGATTACTATGTATGATAGAAACTTTAATGGAGACATGTAGATGAAGTTGTTACAGCTCAGCAGACACCAAGTATATAGCAAAATATATAACTATTTTAGTTATGTTGCTGTAGAGATGAAAATAAACTTAAGCAAATAATTATGGCAAGAATGGTATATGGGGCCATCACTGAGATAGCTGCTGTAGAAATACTACACCCAAAGTTACCCAGTGACTGCTTGCAGCTAGCTATGATGATATCACCAGTAACCAGATATGCATAAATGGATCATATTTTTTCACTAAATACAACTGTTTAATAGGAATATGTTAGCCATGAAGTTAAAAAAAATATCCTGAAGTTAGCGTATGATATGATGGACCTAAACTAGGTTGTATGA